TCCTCGACCATGATCTTTGACTGGTACCTGTTGTGGACGTTGGCCTAGGTCACCGCCGAGTACTCTACCAAATTTTGATTTAGCTGTTGAGAGGCCAAGAAACTTTGGGTGTTAAGCCCCTAAGTGAATGCCTGAACGGCCCAATCATCTGCAACCAAAGACAAGTCCATCTATTCCATCTGGAACCTCGACACGAACTCCCTGAACATCTCATTGTCTCTTTGTTTAACCTTGAAAAGGTCTGACTTTCTAGTCTCGACCTTGATGGCACCGGCATGAGCCTTCATGAGAGCATCTGCAAGCATAGCAAATGAGTCAATAAAATTTGGGGTTATGTTGTGATACCATATCATCGCTCCTTTGGACAAAGTCTCCCCAAACTTCTTCAGTAATACCGACTCGATTTCATCATCTTCCAAGTCGTTCCCTTTGATTGCGCATGTATAGGAGGTCACATGATCATTCGGATGATCCGTGGTTCTGTTATACTTGGGGATATTATGCATACAAAACCTCTTTGGGATTGGCTTCGGTGTCGTGCTCGGAGGAAAAGGTTTCTGAATAAACTTCTTGGAATCTGATCATTTCAATATCGGGGGTGCTCCTGGAATTTGATCGACCCTGGAATAGTATGTTTCCACCTTCTTGTCATTACCCACAATTTTCTTCTCACCTGATTCCACTCGCTTCGTTAATGCTTCAAGCATTTTTACTATCTTGGAGTTGACCTCAGACTCAGCTTCACTCGGTCTCTCGGTGATTTGTTCATTTCTTTGAGTGCTTTTCCAGGATTGTTTAGGTTTGACCCTACTGGGGGCATGGCCTTGATTCTGTAGCTGCGTTATTGCCTCCTGTTGAGCCTGCAACATTTCGAAGATTAGTCGCAGGCTTACCCTATCACCTTTGTCTTCTGGCGCTTCTCGAGCTGTTGGTCGGGGTCCTCCGTGAACATTGTTTTCGGGATCAGTTGGCAAATTAACGTCGATGGCCACATGTGAGTTAGCATCAACCGAATCGTCCACTGGGACACCATTGGGATCAGTAAGAGGTAACTTGTATCTATGTAGCAAATTAATATTTCGCCATGATGGCGAGACTCAACATCAACGTTCAAGTGGGCAGACTGAGAGTTCGACATTTTTGGGCTAACCTAAAATTAAGACTTTAAAGAGCAAGCGTAAAATAGGGTATGTTCTGGCAATTTTTATCAAATTATCACTATTATCCTTAGCCTCACAGTGGGCACCAAACTGTTTAGCCTTAAATCGGATTACAATTAAATTTGTATGCGGTTTTAAGGATATGTGGATTGATTCAACAAAAATAATCAGGAATACTAGATAAATGAGTTAAAGACAAAATGAATGATCAAACCAGTCGTAATGTTACAGCCTAGCTCGAGCCTAGGTTGAATAGTAGTTTTGCCCTCGATTGGACCCTTGGTTCGAACCCAATTACGAATGAAGAATAAATAGTTAAGTACGAACTTTTGCAATGGCTAAATAGCATAAAATGAATTTGTAGTGCCCTGATTTGCGTGTTACAATGTGTCCATAAAAAGAAAAAACCTCCCATTTATATAGTAGGAGAGTTTCATGCCTAGAACAAGTCTAAAAAGAGCAAAAAATTTCCTTTCTCGTTAATTACTGATTCGTAATCGACATCGAGCAAGATCTGCACCATGATATCTGGTGAGGTATGAATATCACGGCCCTTTATCCGTCGTGTGTAATCGTTTATCGAGTTTTTCGAGGTTTTAGAACTCGTTCTGGGTCCGGGGAGCGTTGCTTCATCATACCCGGTGATGAACACATCGTTCTTCTTTCATGTGTCTCGAAGCGAAAGGTTTCCGGCCTCGATTTCAGTCTCGCGTGTCCATGCCCCTTTTCCGCTTTCTTCTCCGGGAAATCAGGGTATGCTATATCCCTGATTTTACTAGTATACAATCATGACATTTCTCAAGCATGTTCTTAAACGTATAATGGAAATAAGTAAAAATTGTCTCCAAATACATTAACGCGTCATTCTTATTTTGAACAAACTATTAAAGAAATTAAATTGTGCCATAAAAAATGGAAAAAATGAAGTGACTTACTTTTTCTCAATTTCTTATTTGTTACACTAATTATGGAAAACTAATGACCTTTTTGATGTTGTTAATTAGGTTACAAATGCGAACAATAATGATAGTTTTGACTACATGAAACATGCCAGACATAGATTTGAACAATATCGTTTTAGAAGGTTCAAACAGTTGGGGGGCTGCAGTTCATTCAATGGGGAAAACTTCTATATACTATACCTGATGCAAGAAAATATAAATTGATTTCACAAGTAGCTTGGTTTGAGATGAAAGGTAGAGATAAGAATTGCTTGAGAGCCTTCGCTAGTGTTGCATTAATTTATAACATCATATTAATGTACAACACGTTAATCATACCAAATTTAACAGCTTGTTTGGGTGTTTGTTACCCATTATATTGTATTTTATTGTTATCCTAAAATAATGTTTGTTTTGATTGTTTAGTTAAAATTAACTGTATTGTATTGTTAAATCCATTGTTCTAGAACAATAAAAAGACCCTTTTTTTAAACAACCGATTTAAGGCGGTGGAATTCTTTCCTATTTTTCTTTTCAATTATGTCATAACTTATTACTCCATAATTCTATTTTACCCTTTATATGTTTTTTTTAACACCAAATCTCAACTTATAACCTTCTTCGTCTTTGTCATTTTTTTTTCGAGATTGGTTCTGCTGTTGCCAACTCCACGATCAAAGATAACAAGAATAGTTTCGGCCCTTTCTTTATTCCTTTCTTTGTTTCTTTGTTCCTTTCTGCCCCCTTTTTTTCTTCGTTCCTCTCTTTGAGTTTTATCAGCCACCAGCTTCTGTCCTTAATAATTTTCCCTTTATTTATTTTTATGTGTAATTCATAATAAATTTAATATTTAAAATAATTAAAGGCAGTGGCGGAGCCACATTCAACCAAGGGGTGTTAATCGATGCCCCTTCACCGGAAAACTACACCATACTACTAGATAAATTTGTTTGTTATATGTATATTTATTATATGTTGACTTCCCTTGACTTTTCGATGTATATCTAATTTATTATGTTTTGAAACCCCTAGATAAAAATTTTGGCTCTGCCAATTGAGGATATTTTAGTAAACTTATCAGTTGTAGTACAATATGATACAATCAAACTAAATATAAAATATATTATTTAACAACAACAAAGAATACAATCTATCAAACGTTATATTCATAAATCGATATGATACGCTACAATACGTTATAAAATAATGGGTAACAATGATCCATACATAGTGTAAGGTAAAACATAAGTGATGATAGGATATAATTTCGTATTTTAGTCACTTATTACACTCTAATTTACTGCACTTTAATTGAGTTTGAGCTTTAATCGTTAGTGTTTTGCACTAATTATGTGTTTTATGCCTTGAAGGAGTGATTCCGAGCTATGTAGATGTTATGGAATGAATTCAAATGATTTGGAGCTTTGAAGTTTGAGTAAAAGTCCAAGGAATTAAGTCGGGATCGTATTCGGGGATCAATGGATGATAGTTAGAACGAACGAAGAATCGAGCGGGTATATGGCGTACTGTCTAGTAAAATACACATAACGTTTTTGCTCAGAAGTCCGTTTGGACTCCATAATATATCGTTGGAAAGCTATTTGAAAGGGCTACAACTTTCATGTTTTACGTTTTTGCAAATTCCCACTACCGCGGCGTGTGGTACGGTGTGCCGCGCCTATGGAAATTTCCTGCAGCCTGTCAGAATCAGCAATCTAAACTTTCCCACTGCCGCACCGCATGGTGCGTTGCCCCATGCGGCGCGGTAGTGCAAATTTTACAGAGTGAGTGTTCTATTTCGCGCGAGAGAATATATTTTCGTCTGGGCCCGACCCTACTTGGTACAAATACATGTAAAAACGCTATTTTGAGGAGGTTGGGCAGATTTGAGACACAGATTCGACCTTAGGAGGCAGAGATACGATAGGAGTAAGACGGAGAATTCTTCTACGAGTTTTTCCTTCCTCTTCCGATTTTTCATTGTTGGTTATGACTTTTAGTACTGTAGTTTTACATACTATTATGAATAACTAATTTGTTATCTAGGGTTTTGATGGAACCTTTTGTAGGATACATTCTTGTTATGTTTTTATATAATTGAGTCGTAGTATAATCTCTATTTGTTCAACAACGTTCTTGTTGTAGTTAATTGTAGGATCCTCAATTAGTTGTGCCTAATTAGTATGTATTACTCGGGAGAGAGTGCATATTTTGGTAGTTGTTAAATAACATCACTCCCGACGTATGTGAGGAATCAATAACCAAGGGTTTAAAGGTGGGATTAGGGATAACGAAACCTTGGGTGCGATCTAAGTGAGCTGTAATTAAAGCCAGCTAGCGTAACTCAGGAGAGTTTGTCTAGTAAATTGTCGTAATTACTCGGAAGAGAATTACAATAGTCAGAGCGCTCATGATAGGTAGAGAATACTTACGCAAAATTATAGAAGACATAGCGGGAAGGATTCCGACAATTAGGGAAATCATAACTCTAGACCTCCTTAATCTTTTCTCCGACCCGTAGTATCCTTAGTTGTTAATCTACTAATTTAATTATTTAGTTAATTAGATATAGGAATCTTAATATTTTAACTTAGGAATTGTTCGAGCTTGTCTTCTTAGCAATATTGAATAGTTGAAGCTAAGCCTTAGTTCTCTGTGGGATTCGACTCCGAACTTGTAAACCGGATTATATTTGCAACGACCGCTTAATCCTTTTTATAAGGCATAGTTGGGCGTGATCAATAAGCTATTTAAATTGGTGCAGAAGTATACTTTATCAGTTTGGGATATTATGAAATAATAAGAATGAAACATGAATCAATCAGTTTAACTTTATTTCGTACTACAATCCAATTGATCAAAGCGAGCGAGCTTTTATTCCTTATATTTATTGATATAGATACATAATTTGCGCGCACACATATATAGAGAGAGACACACATTTGCCAAGCCAATGGTTACTCTGTTTTGTTGGTAGTTGATGGAAACAATTTCTTGTAGGCCTCTGTTAAAGCCACATTTGTGGTACTAAAACCACCATCAAGAACGAGATTCATACCACTCGCATATTTGGAATCATCACTTGCCAAATACAATACTGCCTTTGCAACGTCCTCTACACCTAGTAATGCTCCTTTCAGATTTCCTCCTGCTGCAAACCATTTGTCCGCCATTTGTTTGTCTATTCCAAATCCGTTTAATACAAGCGGGGTGCTAATGTAATAAGGAGAAACACAATTAACTCTTATTCCATACTCCCCTAATTCTACTCCAACGTTCTTAGAAAGCCCCAGAAGTGCGTTTTTCGAGGCCGAATAGGTGTGTGGGACAGCTGCACCGTAGACCTCTGTCGAAGCACTTGCCGTGAAAAGAATGACACCTTTCTTGGCCGGAATCATCACTCTAGCAGCATGTTTCGCGCAAAAGAACTTGCCAACAATGTTTACGTCGAAAACAGTCTTAATTATGTCATAATCGACTTCTAAGATGCTGGATATTGGCTTGCCCAATACACCAGCGTTACTGTACATTATGTCAAGCTTACCAAATTTGGCAACTGTTGCATCCACCGCATTTTGGACGTCCGATTCAATCGCGACATCACAATGGATAAAGGTTGCATTTTCTGTGCCAATCTCTTGTACAACGCTAGTTGCGAGGCTGTCTTGAATGTCTGCAATTATAACCTTTGCACCATGTTGAACAAATAGCCTAGCTGTAGCTGCTCCTATGCCGCTAGCACCACCGGTTATAAATGCTACCTTACCTTGTAACCTGTAAAAAGAAGTTAAAATAAGGATTAGTACGATCATTATCTAAGTGCGCAGGAAAAGTATTATGAAGATATAAGGAAAATAGAAAAAGGAAATAACTTTTTGGCTATTGGGGATTGAAGAGGTGAGTTAGCCATTTTCTCAAACCAGAGAGCTCTCTGTTGTTCACATTCGAGAGAGGCTCTATTTATAATAAAAGTTTGGCCAAAGTGGGAAATCAAATATGAGTTTGACGGTATTTAAGAATATAAAGAAAACTTGTTAATCTTGCGTCTTAAACTAAAGGTGTGTATAATATATTAAAATATTCCATTATTTTATAATCTTAATTTATCATGTCATATCTACAAGGAGTGTCATTAAGAGTAAAAAATAAAAATATTTAAATTAAAATTTTAATATATATATATATATATATATATATATATATAAATTAATATTTTATAAATAGAATATAAAGATGAGTTTAACAAAAAAAATTAAAACGAGACAATATTTTGCAGATGTGGGTCCCAATATTTTTCACCATATTTCCCTAGCCTCCCCAATATTGCCCGCCCACAAGAAACAACGCCTCAGAGTTAAAGTTAATTAATTGATTATAAGTTCTGGCAAATAACATTAAGCCTAAGATTTAGCGCTCTAAAGCTATTGGTTACTCATGAGAAGGGATCTAAATTATACACACAGGCATTCTTTAAATAGATTATTAGTATGGCTTGATTTGTTATAATAGGTGATGTTTAGCTTAAAGCATATATATTTCAACGTATATCGCCTTATATTTTACTTTTGTTTCGTGAATTTGGGGTGTTAACTGCTATGATTTATGTTAATTTGAAGTGTTTTTATGTGTAGGAATGATTCGGGAGCAATTAGGGGCGAAACGCGCAAGATTTGAGCCAGAACGAATAAAACCGGACGAATTGAGCATTTGGGCGCCACAGGCAGCGCCTGGCGCCACCTGTGGCGCTGGAGACAGTACTGACAATTTGGGCAGCGCCCTGGTGGGCGTCTGGCGCTGGCCTGGACGCTGTGTTGCGGGGCTTTTTCTATTTCGCCCAGGACAAGGTTATTTCGGCCCAAGACCTCTCCAACTCGTATAAAAGGAGTTCTAAACCTATTTTAGAAGAGATAGAACATACTTTGAAGGAGAATTCACGTGGAGGAACACACACCATGCTTGGAGAAGACTTTTAACTAGTTTTTCTTCTCTTCTCTTCTTTTAATCTCATAGTTTATTAGTTCTAAAGTTTTGGGTGCTACATGAACGTTGTAGTTTGAAGCTTGAATTGTTCTTATTATTTTATTATATTAGGTTATTTGTTCAATCTTGCTTTTAATTATTTGATTGCTTGATCACCAATTGAATACTATCCACGAATCTAGGATTGAACTCGGGAGAGGGAATTCTAGATTGCATATAAGATTGAGTAGAGCAAGATCTTAACTCTGAGGGTAGCGGATTTGCGGTTAGGATAGGACTATACCTAATCGCCTTGATTGATTATTATACGGAAATTATAAATGCGTTCTTGTTAATCTTGATTCCATAGGAATATAGGTGTTTGGTTAGCTTGAATAGGCGAGTTGTACTTCGGGAGAATGGCTACGAGCAATATTAACCTTGTCAACCAAAAAACCAGATAAATTAATTAGACGATTTAAGTGAAAAACTCAACGGGATTGTTAGCTAACCCATAGCTCTAGAATATTCACTCACATTGAATTCGCCTCTATAATTCGCCAACTTGATTTCTTTAATCTCTTAATTTGTTACTCTAGATTAATTTTAGTTAAATATTCATATTTTAGGATTTGTTTGAATAGATTAATTGTTTGATTTAATTTATTTGATAGTTTATCACAAGTCCCTGTGGGTACGATATCTGGACTTACAATCCTATATTACTTGTCGACCACGTATACTTGCATGTGCGTTTGGGAGCAACAAGTTTTTGGCGCCGTTGTCGGGGACTTAGAAATTAACTAGTCTACTAGATTAGATTTTTACTTTTTGTCTACTCAAGTTTTTTTTATTATCATTTTTGTCTTAGTTTAATATTTACTATCTTTGTTGATATGGCATCTTGGAATGATAATTGGTCGAATATTGGTTATTCTTATTATGGTGATCCTTGTCCATATTGTGGAGGACCACACTTAGGGCAAAATTGTGCATCTCAATCTGATGTGTGGAATTTTTGTAATGTGTGTGGTTGTCAAGGTGGCCATTGGGATGGTTTTCCTAATTCTTATTATCCTTCTCATAGTTCTTATATTAATGTTTCTAATAATGTTTATGAGTTTGATAGGAACAATGAAGTGGAGGATATGGAAAGCATGGCTCATATTATGGACATGATGAGGCAAATAGTCGAGCAACAAAGTCTTGATGCCTTAACGATCAAAAGACTCCAGGCTAGAATGGATGAATTAATGGCCAATTTCCAAGAAGAACCTCAATTCGATAAAGAGAGCGAGTTCCCATAAGAAGATTATTTTGAAGAAGCAGATATAGTGAGCCAATCTTGGCTTGAGGAACAAGCTCAACTGATAAAACCTCATGAGCTTCTCCGTGATGGTCTTTCAAATATGACAAAATAGCTGAGACGAAAGAACTAAGCTCAGGCAAGAAATAGACCAATTTGGCTTAGACATGCATGACCTACATGATCAATTGAATAAAAAGGTTGAGGCGTCTGATGTCCTACAACCAATCCTTGTTGATACTGGCCAGCTTGAGGAGCGGAAAGAGGAACTTTAACTATTCGACCAAAATATTATTAATGATGCCAAGGTTGACGAAGTGCTCAAAATTGAGCATGTCAAAAATAATGCAATTTTGGAGTTGGAGCGTATTGGACCTCATTCTAAACATTTTTCAACATTGTGTTTGGTTGGTGACATGGGAATTGATCCAGTCGAGCATATGATGAAGTCAATGGATAAGGAACAAAGTGCTTATATTCTGAAATTTGTGATGCCAAGGAGACAAAACGACATCCCCCACTTAAAGGTCAAGAAGTGCAAGATGCGATACCTATTGCTTGGTTCATTTATTTTTATACAACCGCCTCATGAACATGACAGAAAAATTGATGCAAAATTGGGGGCGCAATTTATATCCTCAAAGTGGAAGGAAGAGTGGTGAAAGTGATGGTGTCGTGTCGCGACGTTAAATCAAGCTCTTGTTGGGAGGCAACCCAGTCTGTATTTTAATTTTTTTAATTTTTTATTTTTTTATATAGTGTCAAGTTTCGTATTATTTTTGTTTTGCAGAGAAAGGGAAGTCTGAGTACCCGAAGTTGAAGCTGATGAGCATGTTTGAGCTTAAGTGTGGGGTCGTCTCGACCCTTAAGATTGAGGATCATGTCCGAGCTTGGCCCGAGAGGGTCTCAGGGAGTATTTCTCACCTTTGCTTTATTATTTTTCTCTATGATCATGCATCGAGGACTATGCATAAAATAAGTGTGGGGTGGGGAAACTACTTTCTGAAGTATAATTGTATAAAACTATTTTTTTATTTAGTTTTTCTTTTAGAACTCGTAGTAGACATAGTCTAGGTATAAAAAATGAAAATTGAAAAAAAAATAGAAAAAATTCGGACTTTCCCGACGATGGATCTTTTGGACAATTTTCTTGAGGGATAAAGTCCGATTAAAAATACCAAAAAGATTTTTTTTTAGGATAGCTAGGTAGTATCCCTTGGTTTTTCTTTGGGCGCCGGTTCTTTTCCAAAGGTGTAGCTCGAACAAGGTACTTTATTTTTATTTTTTTTAGCAGTAGTTCAGGAAGAAACTGAGTCGCTCTAAGAGACTCATTGACATGGTTGATGCTGGCACATTAGGTTATGACATACATGCTATTTTCCCGTATATTTGGTTTGAATTGTGAAGCCTAAGTAAAGTAAATAACCTATTTTGTGATGCCTTTTCTCAGTTGTTTGACTTGTATGCCACATAGTGCAATATTGCTTAAATTTCTCAATTATGTGTGCTTGCTTGACTTGAGAGTTGAACAAAACCGTCTTGATTGAGTCATGTGTAACGTGTGTGTATTTGTGATTTTTTGTGCTATCGTGTGTAGTCTAGAACTTGCCCCGTGTGTTAATTGAAGCGAAATTATAAGTTGTGCTAATCTAAGAGATGACGTATGTATTTTCTTGTTTGATCAGGGATGTGCTTGTCACATAAAAATAAAATTTTCCGTTGCTAGCCCCTTTGAGCCTATAGACCTTTCTTTTGGCACCCACATTACAAGTCATACCCCTATTTTGTTCTTAATTTGATATTGATTGAACATTTACCTCCTAAGGCACTTAGTTGCTAAAAGAAGTAAGGTGAGATATTGGGGAGTAGTTTTCGAGTGAAACCATGAAAGGGCCCGTTGGTGCACTAAGGTTGAAATTAAAGTCACTAGCCGATGAACTTTAATGTATGAAGTGTGTGAAGAAAAGAAAAAAAAAGAGAAAGGAAAAGAAAAATTGCAAGAAAAGAGAAAAAAATATGATAGTTCAAATAATGGAGAAAATACACACCTCCAATTCTTATTGATTTGTGCTAGTGGAAATATAGAAGTGCTTAATTGAAAAAAGGGCTATGTTGTATATGTCAAGTGAATTGGTTGAGAAGAATATGTGCTTGAATCATGAATGTAGTGCATTAAAATGCTTAGGAGGGTTAGCCACTATTTATAAATGTATCATACTCGCCCCTTAGCCTATTTACAACCTTAAAGTCCTAATTGATCCTAGATTTGGCTAGCTTAAATTAGTAGAGATATACACTACGGGCAAGCTTATGGTAAGACCACGGGATGCATATGAATTCTTTGTGAGAGTGAGCGAATTTTGTTCAATTGTGTGATGTCCTTAATCTATATTCAAAAGTATATTTGAATGTGTGGACTACTATATTCACTCTTTTTTTTGTTGGTAAGGGCATATGATCTCATGAATAATTGTTAATGTTGTAAACTTTTGTGTTGGGTAAGTGCATGAATTGAGGGTGCTTAGTGGTTGCAAGTCAGCTTTTGAGGTTGGGTGGTGAGAAATAGGTTGTTGAAATTGATTGAATTGAAGGGTTATATTTGGGCATGCTTAAACGGGAAGAATGTGAAATATTGTG